GTTCAAACAAGGGAGACAAAAATAACTCCAAGAAAGAGACTAAACTACTCCGTAAAAAGACTACACAGCTCGAATAAGGGAGACTAACAACCACAATATAAGCACCCTCTACTTATACTTTGAAAACGTCTACGTTTTGAAATAATTTCAAACTTTTTCGAAAAATAATTTAACTTTTTAAAATCTGCTTTTAGGGTACTTACTAAACATTCTTACTAAACTTTACTCTATTTAAGGGCATCTGGCTTTCGAAACTTACTAACTGATCAACTCATTTTAGACATAGCAGAGCGTACGAATACTAGTCTATAATTTCAATTGAAATACTGAACTAAAAATCCAAACATTGTTCAACATCCAAAATAACATGTTCGGAATAATAAAAACTGTTCAATGCAGAAGCATAATAAACTGCATAATAATATGACCACAACTTGTCCCTCGAGTCCCGCACCAGCTACTAACCTGAAAATAATAATTGTGGGGGGTGAGCAAAATGAATGTGCTCACCGATAATTCATACTATGCAATTATTCATGATAATAACAGGCATCAATAATAACAACATATAAATGAATAAACTGGTCTCAACCGCTGGTCAACCGTTGGGGACGCTACCCACTCGACACGAGAGATCTGATGCCTACTAATCAGGCAAAACTCATATACATACCTCAATTATAAAATACCTTGCGATTATTAAGAATTAGCACATAGCATGGAAATCCCCACCTGGACTGCTTACTAATAATCTGATAATGAATGAATGAATGAATGCGTCTGATGAGGGCTCGACTCCTCGTTAATCTACAATTAATAATTTTTATCTTATTATTAAAAGTGATGGCAGATAAGAAGATAAGGCAGGCAAGGAAAATAAAATCACATAATCAGATAATTCACACAAGGGCAAATAGGACAGATAAAACTGCTACTGACTGCTCGACTACTGATCTGCTGAGCTGCTGACTCTGAACTGCTACTGACTGCTGACTACTAATATGCTGATTTACTGGCTGTTGACTACTACTGACTGCTGACGACCAACAAGCAAACAAGACAGACAAAGAAATTTATTTTCACATAAACAGATAGTTCACACAGAGAAAATTAAAAACAGATAAAACTACTAGCTGCTCGGCTAAACTGGATTGATCTAAAGTTTCCAAAAAAAATTCTATCTAAGGCTCGAAAACTAGAATTTTCTAGACAACCCGAACTGATCGGTTCGCGCTCTGTCGGAATCAGCTTGGCTCACTGGCCTCGGGTCGACCGACTGCTGCGGCTCGGGCGCACACGCTGGCTGCGCCTTAGCCGGCTACTGGGCGTATCTGGCGCCCTATTGGCATGGCTGGACTCTGGCGCAGGCGCTGGCAGATAGCGAGGCACGGGCTCGGCGCAAGCAGACGACAGGGGTGGTTGTGGACGCTGACAGAGTATGCAGACATTGGCAGACTAGTGATGCACGAGCGTGGTGTCTCAGGGCGCACGGGCGCTTCTGTGCTTCAAGCGCTCGGGCGCTAAGGTGATGCAGTAGGTTGCGGGCCCAGGGGCACTGAGGTGCGGGCGCGCGGGCACTGTGCAGCCTGCGTGAGGTTGGTGCGCTATGGCGCGGTGCGTGGCATGCTGCCCATGCCTGCCGACCGAAAGCTATCCCAGCCAACTCACAGGACTTTAGTGATATTTTTCGGTTATCTCACTGACTTAAGACTTCTAATTGAAGGGTCTCTAACTCAGGTTTAAGGGTTTCCAAATACCTTGAATCATATAAGGCAAAATGGACCCTTAACCTCCAAGATTTTTATAAAATCACACATAACTCGAAAGGGCCTGAAACTTAACAATTTAATGACCAACATGCTCAAGTATTACTAGTTAAAATTTCAGTTCAAAAGCACAACAATAGGCATGCCAACGCTGACGCTAAATATCACATAAGAACATGATTTGACACCTTCACCTTCAAGAATTTCTCTAAAATTCTATACTTCATATATGAGGCTGAAAATTTACAGGCATACTCACAACTCATGCAAGAGTAATTCATAAAATTTTCAGATCAATATCATGAGTGTAGCCTGAGAAAAGTCAAAATCAATTGCAATTTGACATGGTGAGGCTCAAACATTTTTATCTCATTCAAAAAACAGCATTTGAGGCTGAAATTTAATACACATGCTCACAACACATATAGAAAGTCGTCACACAAATTTCAGATTTATAGCATGAACATAGGCTGAGATATGACAATTCAAAGTAGCACTGAATTCACATGATTCGAGGTGACTGACATGCTTTCCATCAACATTTTCTATAGCTTGATACACAAATCAACTGAGGCTGAAAATTAATAAGAATACTCTCAACCTCCACAAAAAATGGTCAAAAGAATTTCAAGTTGACAGGACAAATATAGATTGTGTAAAACAAGGTACCAATTCAACTTCCAAGACAAAAGATCATCGCCCTCTCTCAATAATTTCTACATCATTCATCTTAAGTCATAAAAGGCTTTTTTTTCATAAACATGCTCATAACACATTTATCTACCATAAATTTTCCAGATTGATATCATGAACATGGTATGAGATATAACCATTCAAAGCTGCAGCTAAAGCAGGCAATTTGATTCAGACTAACATGTTTCTGCTCAAATCGATTTACAACATGATATTCATAACAAAATAGCATGAAATTTGACATTTTTACCAACAGCACATACAAGAAATATCCCGTAAAATTTCCAATCGATTGTACATGAATAGCCAGGGCAAAACTCAATTTAAAGTTGCTGCAGAAATAGGGATTTCGAAATCTCAAACATTCAAATCTAAAGGCATGCCTTATAATCTATTACCACTGAAACTAAACCACATTAAAAGCAAATGAAAATCACATATATCTACACATAACCTCAGCCAAAAACGAGGGCTAAAAGGCTTGGGCTCGGTACCTTTCTTCGGTTTCAAAAACAAGGCAAAGGCTCTGGTTTTGGGCTTTCCCTCTTTCTCAGTTGTTACTTGCTGCTGGGAAGAGGGGCCTCTAATGGTGGTTGGTCATACTTACGTGGAAATAGGGACCTCAGGTCGCCTTGTATGTTGATGATTTTCGGGGCTGCGCGCAAGTACTAGACGCCGGCGTGGAACTTGCTGCTTCACCGGAGGGCTGCGGCTGAGGTTGATTGATGGAAGTTGAGGAATTTCCTGGGCTTTCTTAGAATTTTTTGAGGTGTAAAATAAGAAGGGAGGCTGCTGGAATTGATTCTTAAATAGTATCTCCCTTAGGACATACAAATTCGAAAATTAGAAACAAGGGTGTTGTTGGTGGACTTCTTCTCCCTCTTGCGGGTGGCAGCTAAGGCTCTCCAAGGATAGTACTTTAGGGCTGATGGGGCATGCTAGAATTTAGGGAGCTAGTTATAGGACTCGGAGCCGTGACGCCATATTGCCCTTTTCTCTTTTGTGCCCAGGGGAGGGCCGTTGTTTCTGTTTTTTGGCTAGTGGTGTTAGTCATGGCAGAACGGTTGCTGGGGTGGGCTGCGCTGATGTTGTTGGCTGTTGGTTCTGGGTGTCGGTTGTTTCCGTGCTTCTGGTAGTTGGGGTGTGGGTTTTGGTACTGACCTCCGACGACTGGTTCGTGGGTGACTACCTGGGGCGAATTTTCGGGGCGGGTATTTCGGATCTTGTTAGGCCTTCTGCAGTTTTAGATCTCGGGGCTAGGCTCGGTTTGCTATCTCTTTGGGTAGGAGCTCTCGGTGGCGGTGGCGAGGTTGTAGTGTAGCTTATTCCTATTGTGGAGGAGGGCTCGTAGTGTAGATGTTCCGTTTTCTTTTTAGGATTGTTGTTTAGTTGTTTTGTGTTGTTAGGTTTCCTGTTTTTGGTTTGGGTCGTTGGCCTCAGTTTCCCTGAGTGTGACTTTATTATCCTTTTGGGACCGTACACTCGGGCATTACCCTATTGGGGCCGTTTTTAGTGTTTTTGTGTTTTTTTTGTGTGTTCCCGAGTATTACCCTGTTGGGGTCGGGCTCTAGGCGGTCTTTTGACCTGTCCTCTCATTTTATGCAGCTGTTGGCTGGTTGTATTCAGCCGTTGGCTGTTTGTATTCAGCTTGTGGTTGTTCTTTTGCACATTTGTGAGCTTTTATATAAAATCTCTATCGTTTCGACAAAAAAAAAAATAAAGGGGCGCACAAAGGAGTTGGCTAATGGTGGACAGTTTTGAAATAAGATCAAATCAGATATGATCAAATATATTGTTTCCTTAAATAATTTTATTAATATCTATAATAATTTCATTGATATCCATTATAACAAATTATAAGATTGATTTTTCGTGATGGTCAAGATAAATATTACAACATATTTTAAGTTCTAACAATAATATTAATTTTTTTCAAAAATATTCACTTTTTATCTAAAAATATTTATAAAAAATCATAACATGTTAGGTAGAATTTTTTCTTCCAGTTAATCAGGAAAAATCAAGTTGGTGAATTAGTCTTTGCCAATATAATTATTTCCTAAGCTTTATTTCGTTATATATAAAAAATAAATTATTCTTCAAATTAATATTTTTACCATTTAAGAGATCATGACTATATACATTAAATAGTTTTACTAATGGTCAAAAATTAAAATTGAAATAATTAAGTGTTCTTTAGAATTTATTTGTACATTATTGACAATCATTATTATTTTTTTATCATTTTTTTATTTTAATTTATTCTATACTGAAATTCTTTTAAAATATATTTTCGTTGTAGAGTATGCTAAATAAAATATAAATCTGTATAATGCAAATCATAAAAATTTATATTATAGAAACGATTGAGTTTGTGGCATTTGCTAAATTAAAGTTGTTTAATTAGTATACAAAATTAAATTCTGAAAAAACATGTGTGTATATTTTGTAAAATATTATACACTATCTAATTTTAAATTTATTTACATATTTTATTTTGATTACATAAATAAATAATACTAACGTGCATTAAATATTTTTTATTACATAAAATAAAAAGAAAAAAAAGACGTACAACTTCTATAACTTTTATAAATAATAATGATACTATATGACAACAAAGTTTATAATAAAATAATAATTAAGTATTATATGGTGAACAAAAATAATAAAATAATAATGAAGTATTATATGATGAACAAGAATAAGAAAAACTGTTATTTTTCCTTATATCAAGGAATAAATATATATACTAAAATCAAATTTATATTAGTATAAATGTGTTAGTGAGATAATATATTAATTATTTTACAAGTTAGCCCTAACATGCTCATATTTAATGTTGTGGCTAAAAAAACAACGCTGATTAAAAGTGGAAAATAGATTATAACTCTATTGTTTTTCAGACTTAACGCTGATTGAAATAGATAAAAAATAGATGATAACCCTATTGTTTTGCTTTTTAGATTTTAACGGACAGAACCTGTGAATAACTCATTTAATGTCTATGTCACGTGCATCGCACGAGGGAGGAACGTACTAGTAGTACTACATACACGTATAGAATTATTGTTGGAAAATCAAATGAACATGTTCTTGTCCACGTATTGTTCGATATGTTACTAAAAAAAAAAAGGGAACCTTGAGGATGCTTGGATACAAAACTTATCCAAAAAATCCAAACATTTTTAACTCAATCACTTTTTTTAACTCAACTTTAACTTAACTCAACTATCATTAATATTATTAATATAATTAAATAATATCAACCAATCATTCTTACACATCACATCAACCTTAATTCACTATTCATCCACTCACATAATTTTAACTAACTATCACTTCAAATCATCTCTCTCATACTTTTACATCAAATCAACTTTAATTATTTTATTTAAAATATTATTTTACTATACACACTAATAACTAACCATACCACCTTTTTTAAAATTAACCAAACCAAACCAAAAAATCCAAACAAATCCAAAATTTTTTATATCCAAGCATCCTCAATACCAACTTCGTTATTTATATAAAAATATAACATTTTTTACTTATTATGTATAGGACATTGGTTTCATTAAGGAGCCAATAATTGATTCTAATAGCAAAAATCGTTATGAGTTATAGTCGCTCTTTACTATGGGAAACGAGAAAAACTGGAACAAAGACATGTGATTAATAAATCTAAGATTCACAATTTCCATGCATGAAGATGCGGAAAATTCGGTCGGTCAATGACCATGGGATTTTTCACCATATGCAACTTAAAAACTTATTATCAAATTAAGACGTGTCACATCAGATAATAATTTATGAAAAATCTAATTCTCAATTTTACAAATACTATGCACATATTTTACAATTTTACTAATTAAACAACTTAATTTATTATTTTAAATTTTAAATTTGATTAGTAACATAAGTAATAAAATAAATTATATACTAATATAATCCTGATATGAGATACCATATCGGGTTGATTTGACCCGAGAAACCAGCTAACTGAATTGGGAGAATCGGTAGGTCGATCTGAGATTGAAGGAGCTGTAGGTCGAAGAGTCCTCAAATTGACGGGGACGCCACAGGTAAAAAGGACCGTCAACAGATCGAGCTAGGGCCTTCAAATGGCCGAATAAAAACTCGACCTAAAGGCACGCAGGTCGATGGAACGACCAAAGAAATAGAGTGCATGAGCTTAGTGTGGAAGACAATTTACATCGAAAGAAATCAAGTCGGTCGCACGATTACACCATTTAATAAGAACTACATGTAAATTGGACCACGTGATCTAAAAGAATTGGACAGTTCGGGCACCAAGGCAATACGAACAAGAAGTTCGAGCAATCGGGCAGCTCATCCAGGCTATTACATATAATTGGTAATTTTCCTAATTTTATATGCAACTATCTTCATAATTATTTTTCAAAAAAGTAAGTTAAAATTTGAGAAAATTTGATATGTATACAAATATTTATGTCAGATTTTGTATGTCCGCAAATAAAAAATTATGTTGGTATATATGTAATATTTTATATTTTAGTTAATACATGGGGTAATTTTCTCAAATATGAAATAAATAAATCAAGAGATAAATAAAACACTTCACGGTGATATTGATTAAGAAACTAAATAGTTTTTGCTACTTCCAATAAACTTTTTTCTTTTTCACCAAATTGACCTAAATCAATATACATAATCTCGGTTTCACAGAGATTTTTCTGCTGTGGCAAGGTCCCTCAATATCTCAGTTTTGACCTCCTCCGGAAGGGTTGCAGATGGACCTGCTTTCGAGTAAAACCCAGCAAGAGATCTTATAGCTTTTTCGAGCACGACATACGATTCCTACAAGGAAAAAATATTCACAAGATATCAAAATCGTAAAAACAATGATCTCGATTTTTCAGTTGTGAAGCTAAAATGTATTTCACCATCGTACTAACATTAACATTACTAGCTATAGCTAATGTAGTCCGGAATTGCATATTCTTATTGCTACAGAAAAAAGGAAGATGCTAACTTCAAAGAGAGAGATATCATTACATAAGCTAGTAAAGAATGCACAGTGAAGAAAGATTTCAAGAAAATCGAAAGAAAATTACCTCATTCACGACCTTCTTCTGGCCCCTCCACCGATTCAGATATTCCCTAATTGATTCTTTTGCGGCATCAGCTGTCCGTCTAAACTTAGACATATCCACCGTACTTTCCTTAAGCGACTCACGAAGAGTTTTCACAACTTCCCTTGCGGATTTCAAGTAAGACTTTGGCAGAACCTTACCCGATTTTGTTTTCTCGTTTGGCTCGAATAAGGACTTCAAGGCCCCGACAAAACTGGTCTCATCTTCCTCGGCCAATGCAGGTAATAACAGTAACTCACTGTTAGAGTTTAAGAAGGTAAGTGCTGAAGCAGCAGAACATCCTAAAAGAAGCCGCCGTTTTTCTGCGAATTTTTTCTCAAAGAGACACCTGAATTGTTGCTTCTCCGGAATGTAGCCTGAAAAAGACAGTCAACAAATATGGAAAATAATGTTATAAACAAACTAGATTGACTGCAACGACATACCCCTGAAATTAGTCTGGTTACATAAAAACCCCAATATTTTACAAAATTCTTAATGTGTGCAGTCCTTTTTTTTTTTTTCAAATTACGTCGTCCACAGCAGAGGAGCATTTGGAGAGATAACAGGAAATTAGGCGAAAAAAATTCACGGATAGTTTGCACAATCAACAGAACAAGATCATTTGTGTGATATGATCGCATAACTAGCTAGTAATAATACAGTACAACATCAGATGATTAATCAGCTATATGCATGGGAATGTTACCAACAAAACAATATGTGTAATTTGTAGATCGATATGAGCATTGTCTAAATTCAGTTGCCTGCAATAGTTGCTTGAGAACATCAATCTAGTTTACTCAACCTTAACCAACTTAATCTAGGAAAAAAAATCAAATAAAATAAAAGAACAATGAAATACAAGATAGGAATATGCGAGTTAAAACGGCGCCGAGTAGGATTCAGCTCATCAAAGAATTGTAGTTTAAACCTACACACGATTTGGAAATTGTTTGTAATTCTCAGTCAATACAATAATAACAATTACAGAGCCACCATGGATTTGAAGTTTTCTAGAGAGAGAGAGGCTTTTAAAAGAACTCACGATTGCTTGTTTGTGCCGAGTTTGAAACGGAAAGGGACTTTGTGGGTACAGCAAGAGCTATCATAATTTTGCCTTTTATCGATTCTAACAAAATTTGGCAACACCTCCTTCATTCATACTGTCAGTCCAGAACAGATGATATTAAGTGTCGTAAAACAATAAAATAGTATAACAAATAAAATCCAAAATGTCTCAACTCTTAAAGTTTCAGTAGAAATGTAGGAAGCAATCTATCCCACATATTTTGAAGTTATTCCAAGATATCGCGAGAGAAGAAGAAGAAGAAGAAGATAGGATTTTTTTTTTTTCCCCTGATATTTCACTCGACACAAATTTTATGGGATAATTGCACCAAACCGGTCAAAGAACAGACTGGTTCTTGACAATATGTGTTTCTATTATTATTAGTATGTAATGCACGTGATATATTTATTTTGGAAAACTCTATAAACTGAAGGTTACCCAATAAGTTATAATACGTAGGGTATTTGTAGGTATTTGTAGAATAATCACAATTTCTTTCGTTGGTAACAAGTCATATATTATTAAAAATTTCCTTGTACATAACATTATTTGTTATTTAACATTATTTGTTATTAGTTTGATTACTGGGTAACTCATTGTTCCCACAAACAAATATTTCAACATCTTTCTATTAGTTACACGTGAAACAACAGCATACAACTGGCCATGACTAAAAATATAGTTTCTTCAAGAACAACCCAACATTCGATAAAGATGGACTCTCACAATATATGCGTCTTGTATTTTTTGGTTAGCTATTTTTGTTGTATGAGTTTGATTGGATATTTATAAGTCTCACATTCCTGTCGCAACAAAAAATATGGTATAAAATAAAAGTGATAGTATTTATTGATGTGGTAAATATCACACATTTGTTTATTCAGATGATACTAAAAAGAAAATGATATTCACCACGAAAATCGTAATACCATAAAATAAAAAAAAGGATCATTAAAAATCTATGATTTAATTAGTATGAGTTGTAACTGAATAGAAAACCGAATATTATGGCAGTATTAAAAACATTGTTACCACGGTGAGTGGATTGTGTGTTTACCTATTCTATTCTCTTAGTCTCATTTTCTCACCAATTTGATTCCAATATTTTTAAATAAATTTGAATGTAATTTTTTAAATAATTATGTTACGTTTAAGTGATCATTTAGATTGTATCTATTGCCTAATAATATGTAAAAAAGAATGGTATGTTCAAATAAGATATTTATTTATATAAATATAAACACTTGTAAATAAGATTTTCATAAAGAATGCATTGTATTTATCTTTTTTATTATAGCATTTTACTTAAGAAAAGTGTTACATGATTACTGGATTTTGTGTTTATCTCTTTTATTCTTAGTCTCATTTTACGGCCAATTCGATTGCATTCTTTGAAATAAATATAAAATGTAATCTTTAAAATGAATTTGTTACATTCTTTGGAATAAATATAAAATGTAATCTTTAAAATGAATTTGTTACGTTTAAAAAGAGATTTAAATTGTATCTATTGCATAACAATATTAAAAAAAAAATCTGTTACATTGAAATAATTGATTTATTTATCTTAATGGCTTTCAGGCAGGCTTCAGATCGAGACAGAGTTCTTGAAACCAAGTGAACTAGTAAATAACTACCATATCAGAAAATCTAAGCTCAAGAGACAAAATCACTCCAAAAATTAAGTACAAAAAACGAAAAGGTTTGAGCTTTTTCGGATCTGAAGACTATCTTTTCCAACAAAAATAGAAATCTGTACCAGAAAATCAGAATAAACCCGGGCTTCAAAAAATCTTCATATTAAAAAATTAAAAGAAAACACTAAATATTCAGCAAAAAAATGGTTGTGCACAACAGCCTACCTATTTCCCAACTACAATAAAACGGAGAAGGGCAACTGTGAAGACATTTACCTGAAACATATGTACAAGATTCTATGCAGAGCTCCTCCACTGGGAAGACAACAAGAAAAGGAAGAAAAAAGTGAATAATAAGAGATAAACAAATAAAGAGGGAAGAAAGAGAAAAGCGAAAGATAATGAAGAATAGAGGCGCAGAATAAAAAGGTTCAGTCTTGGGCGAACGAGAAAAGAGGGTTGATAAGGTTAGGCTTCATTGGATTTTATTATACAAACAAATATATCTTTTTCATTTTTTTTAATTCGAATATTATTTGTAGAATGGGGCATAAAAAAGTATCACGGCCCAAAACTTTTATTACGGTGGATTTAAATGCTGCGTGGGGTAACTTATCCAAGGTTGTAATAAAATAACTTTTGATTATTTTAAATGAAAAATCATAATCTATATATATATATATATATAAAGAGGAGCAACAAAACATTTAATTTTATTACCATGCATTAAATTTTATTCTCATGTATTAAATTTTATTCTCCCTCCAAAATTTTCAGCATTCAATTTCATTTTTAAGTTACAAAATAACTTGCTTGAATGCCATAAATTATGAGAATAAACCAATCAGGGGAGTAACAAAATTATACTAAAATTTTAAGTCACACCCACTCATGAAAATGGTCGGGTGTATTAGCATAAAGAAAATGGTTGTAACGGCTCTTCCATAGCAATTACTTGATCAAAATCAATTTTGAGAATTATTTTCTTAATTCATATTTTTTTTCATGAATTAAATTATGATTTATTTTCTTTTTTATATTTTTATGTTTTTAAAGTATTCGTCTTTGTGCCAATGCACAGGTTGATTGCTAGTTATAATGTTAAAATATTGGGAGGAGCGTTATGACTAAAATCTATTACTATATAATAAAAATCAGGAAAAAAATTGAAAGTGGAAAGTCATTTTTCCGCTCATTTTTTCGTTTTATACCATTAATGGAATGATTTTTTGAAATTTTTTGGATTGTCCCGCCTTAGACAATTATTTGAGTTTTAAAAAGGTCAATGTGTAAAATATCCTAAAGAAATATACAATGAGATTTAGTTAGGGGAAGATAATTAGGTAAGATATAATTAAAATAAGTCTAATTATTCTCTTTCTTCCCTTTCATACGCAGGTAAAAAAAAAAAATCTTGAGCAAAATCCTTATCTTTCTTCTCGCTCATATGCAGGTGAAAAAAAATAGAAATCTCGGGCGAAAAATGTCGAAATTAATCATGGAGAGGGTGTTTGTCTATGGCTGGTGACGAACTCTCGGGCTTCGCTGGGGCCTACCAGCGTGAGGAAGATGACCGAACATCGCGAGGGCTTTCCGGCGAGAAGCTATTGGTCGCGTTGGATGCACAATGGCCGGTTTATTTTTCTTTTAGTCGTGTTTGGCCGGTCTTGGTGGTTGCGTGCGGATGTGGAAACATGAGTCATTTATGGCCGCACGTGGGACGGGCTGCGGCTGTACGAGGTTGTTTGCTAATTGAGGGCTAATGTTCGAGTATGATGAACAGCGACGGGGCTACTGTTCCAAGGACGGGCTGAAGGTCGATGATGGCCACAAGACGCTAAGGCTGGTCGCACTCCTTCTCGGAGAAGACGATTGGAGATTCTGAGCACCGGTGAAATGGACGTACGGCAAAAAAAGATTTGTCCTGACGAGTTCAATTTTTTCGGCTAAAATTATAGAAGTCAAGAGTTTTTTTTTTTTTAAACGCGTTTTGTTAGAGAAATCTGGGCACTTGTGGAGTCATAACAGATATGGAATTAAACAGTTCTTCAATTAAATTTGTTTATTTATTTTTATATTTGTTGACAATATTTATTTAATATCCCTCATATTTTTTATGGAATGTTGCTTATTAATTATGTAATGTGTAGTTTAATTAATTTATTATTATTGATAGCATAGATAATTAAATACGATAAATATTCAGAAAATTGTGACTCCATAGTATGTTTTGGATTTATTCCAAATCATGACTCCACAATGTGTTTGGATATTTTTTTTTCCTACATTAACAATCGTAAATAGTTTATTGATTTTTTTTAAAAAAAAAAAAATCAAACGCAATATTTTGAGATAATATCTTCATCATAAAATTCAATATTCTAATTAAAAATTATATATCATAAATCACTGATAATACTATCTAATTATTCATATTTTGTTCGGATTAATACATATTAATTTTAAAAAATTCCTATAACAATATCGAATACATCTTATTTTTGGAAATTCCCACTGTCGTTTGAAATTTTTATAACTTTTCAAAAAATCACACGGTAATTGGTTGTCCAAAGTTATCAAACTACAACACTTTTTTATAGAATCTCGACTATATAAAATTTTCTATCACAAAATTCACCAATAAAACGGTTTAATTATTATGCTCCTTTGTTATACTTAATATATTAAATACTATCATAAAAGTATGTATATATATGTTAAGAATTAAAAAAAAAATTATCCCGTCTTTTTACTTTATTTGAAATTCAAAATTATAGTTCTAAATATATTAATAAATATTAATTATTTAGTTTTTTCTTATGTGATAAAATCTGAATTTGGTTATTATGTTTTTAAAATCAAACATTGAAAGAAAAGGATCACATCAGATTTTTTGGGTACATTTCATTTTATCTTAACTTTCATATAATCACATTTCTAAAAAACTAATCAATATAATACTTTCGTATCTACATTTATCTAACAGAATTTTTAAGATATAATTGATATAATATTTTAACTAATTAATCATTTATCTAATCGGATTTATCTCATTAACAAACATGTCAAACTTTTTCAAATTAAAATGGTACGAATATTTATACAAATATACTTACCAAAATATTAAACATTTTATTTTTTTAAAAATATTTATACCAACTTTTACTTTATTTTACATTCAAAATAATATTTTAAATATATTAATAAATGTTTATTATTCATTTTTTCCTTGATATAATCTAAATTTGGTTATTAGATTTTTTAATTCAAACATTTAAAGGAAAAAACCACGAGTATATTTTTTGAGTACATTTCAGGTTATCTTAACTTCCATATAACCACATTCTAACAAACTAATGAATTTAATATTTTCTTATCAAAATTTATCTAACCGGATTTTTTAAAATATAATTACTATAATATTCTAACTAATTGTTCATTTATCTAACTGGGTTCAACTAATTAACCATTTATCTAACCGGATTTATCTCATTAACTAATTTGTCATTTTTTTAAAAAGTAAAATGGTATGGTTATTCTTACAAATATAGTTACCAAAATATTAAACATTTTTTTGAATCCATTGAAGGCAGTTTACTTACTTACCTTTCAACTTGGGTTCGGTGTTCACATTATGTTGGTATTCGAGGAGTGATGGCTGTTCAATGGTTGTAGCTGGAGGAATTACGAAATGGATGTTTTAATATTTTTGGTTATAAATCAGTGTTCTGATTTGTGGTGTTTCGTTGTTTGGTTTGTGTTAATGGTAGTCTACAAAATTGATGTTTACAGATTTCTGATTGGATGACGAAAATTGAGATTTTCTACCAAATTTCAAATGTTTGTTGTCTAATTTGTTACTTTAATTATATTGAATTTGATTTTATAATAATTTTAAATTGCGACTTTAATTAGCTTGAACATACGATAAAAAAATTAAATAACAAAGAAAAAAATATGATGTAGGATAATATTTGAATATCTTCTAATTTCATCAGTAATTTGACTAATTGTTGGTCATTGAATAAATTGGTATGAAATATACATTGAAACGGAGATATGGAAGTGTTTAGAAAATAGTGGATGATTTTGCTTAAAGAAAAAACGTTACTAATTTTTGTAACTTAACAATCATAGATTGGTTAGTTGATTTAAAAAAAATTCAAAACTATAATGTTTAATAATATTTCTTAAAAATATGTTATGTAAAGAGAAGTGTTCTATAATATATGATTTTTCGTTGTTTGTATGTATTTTTTTTTTTCATAATGAGATGATATGTAAAATAATATAAACAATTATATTTAAAATAAAGTATAAAAAAAGTTTAAAATATGAGTTCTTCCGTGTATTGCACGAGATATATACTAGTTTACTAAAAGAATAGAAGTAGATCTTATGTCTTTTTGAAAAACATGCAAGTGGGCTCAATACATGAAAGAATAATAGGGTGTAAAATTTACAAAATAATACTCCTACTAGATTTATTGATTCTTTATTAGAGCATCTCTTATAAGAGGTTTTGGAACAGGTTTGAAATTTTAAACCTGTAGGTTTTCTATTATTTGGCACAGGTTTAAAGGTTTGTGAATCCAAAACAGGTTTGAGAATCCAAACCTCTTAGAGCATCTTTATTGGGTAAGGTTTATAAACCTTACTTTTACATTTTCAATACTCTACATTATTTAAACTTCATTCTTACTCCTAATATCATAAACCTCCAATAATCATAAACCTCACATACCTTCTTTTAGTGGGTCCCTATGTTTCCCACTTACTTTAGTTTATTTATCAATTTAATTCATATTTACTAAAAACACTACTCATAATTTTTTACAATAACATATTTATTATGTATCATAATAAATATATTTTACATACCATTAAAATTAAAAAAATAGCAAAATTAAAAGTTTAGTACAATTAATAAAGATATTACGCATTTGAAAATAGCAAAATAGCAAAAATATTACGCATTTGAAAAAAATATTACACATTTCATATTTTAAAAGTATTAGTAAAATTAAAATAATTGCAACTCGTTCTTATTTAAAATATAGTATTACGCATTTAATACCTCGTTTTTTTTTTCGACAACAATTGCAACTCGTTCTTATTTAAAATAATTGCTTTCGTTTTTTCTTTTCGGACTTTTTTTAATCGAACAATCTCGTTTTACCTTTTTATTTAATGAGCAATGTTTGTTGAAGTTCGTTCTTCTTCGAAGAAATATAGTATAGATAAATTATTTTATTATTTATAGTTAAGTTATTTTATTAGTACTAACATTTAAAATATTTTATTTTATTATTTATTAAAATTAATAGCTAAATCAATTATACATATGTTATTTAATTCTCAATATTTTATTGGAAAAGATGGACAAGAATATAGTATAGATCAAATTTGAGTTTACAAAAGTTGGTAAATAAATGAGTGATGACTTTTAAATGTGGGCCAATACTAGTCACACCAATTCATGCGCGTGAGTTACATTTAAATTGATTTTGGCTTTGAAAAGTATGCTTGTACTACACGTGCTCCCAATTGCTTACATTTTTTTTATTTTTTTATTTAATTCTGTAGCTCTATATTT